AAAAAAAAAAAAAAAAAAAAAAAAAAAAAAAAAAAAAAAAAAAACTGCCATATTGAGTGTAAATCAAAGAGGAAAAAGGAACACTATTATTTTGTCATAGATTGACAAACTCTGCAGAAGAAACAGTAAATGAATAAAAAGGGCATAAAAGAAAATGGTATGGTGTGACAACAAGAATATATTAACCAACAACACACATTGCAGATTACATAATCATATATCAACTGAATATGACAATAGAAGAAACAAAGTAAAAGATTCCAATAAGTAGGGAGGCTACCTATACAAATCACACAATCACTGGATCACTCAGAAACAAACTTCACAGAAGGTGGGTTAGACAACAAGTCAACTATTCTTCCCTTTTAACCTCTTCTTTCTCCCCTTCTTTGCTCATCTTTAAACAGAGGGATGACAATCCTAAGTCAGATGCGTTACCAATTACCTCCTCGTGAATGAAGCGTCGTCTTTCCAAATCTTTCCTTTTTTTTCTGTAAGGCAACAATTCTAACATACACAGGGAGTCATCGGCGTGCGGGTTACACTACTATGATCAATCATGAGGAAGAAAATAGAATATAGAGTAAGAAAGAAAAAAGATCAAGGATCATAAGCCATGTGGAAACTCGTGGTCGAACAAATGCAGATTCGGTTTCGTGTCATTGAGTGCTGCGATTCAACCCACCTCGTCCAATGCTTCTGGAAAATATGAAAGATGTTAATCAACTTTTTAAGACATCTCCAGAATGGGGTACAACTCTACTGTATTATAAGAAAACAGTCAATATAACAACAAGCTTCAAAAATTTGGGGCACGATTATCACAGATCAACAAATGATAATAATGTCGAGATTATAATGTAGACGTTGAAGGTAATCATGTTTCAAATTTGTTGCTCAAGTAGTAGTGGAGCTACTTGGTTAGCCACTCGATTCGCTGGAGTGTGTTCTAACTTCCCCTTGTGTTGGGTCAATACATAATATACTAGAGGGACAATCTCATAGAAAAATTGGGAACAAGCTCTCTACATCTATTGAGGAACTTCCCTATCATTCTCCATTATTGATGCTTGATCATGGTCCTTGCAAATTCTTTTAGATCACTTATTGAGGGCTATCTGATAGGAAAATGGGGGGAACAAGCTTTCTACCTTCAGTTGAGGGGCATACCTATAAATGCATGATCATGGTCCAAAAACAAATTCAATTCATTACCTGGCTTGTAAGCTCAGGAGAAATTCATCACTAATGTGTGTAAACTCAAAGAAAAAAAAAAGAAAAAAGAAAAAAAAAAAAGAGAAATCCTCCTAGTAAACTAGCAGAGTTGAGTTGAATGCCTAGACCTTCTACCCATTTTAGGTCAAAGGTTCTGAATTTTCTTTATCTCTGCTGGTTGGGGCTCAGGTTGCCAAATGATTTCCTAAATTAAATGGCCAAGGCCCCACCTTTAGTGTTAAGAGCGGACAAGATCTTCAGGACAAACATAGTGATTACGAACTTACCAGAGATCTAGAGGTGAGATGGGAGAATTTCATCAGTAACTCATGACAGAAGGTGTCAGAGATCGGGAAACGAGATCATTCTGCAATTTCATTTTGGGTTCTTCGATTACTAATATTAATGTTTATACTTTTGGCTAATGAAAATTTCAAACTCCAAACAACATGGCTAGGATTATCATCCTCTTGGGGTCACTTACGGTTCATACAATGGTCTGGGTATCATCAGAACAATATAAATGGTTTAACAAACAGTCTACAGTTCATGATCTCCAACCTTGAATAGAGCATCATCATGCGGATGTGTCCATATACACATCTCCCAGGACATGAAAGAAAAAGGATAGCTTAAAGAAAAGACATCCCAGGTGGAATTTGAAACAACTTTCCATTTCCTTCATCAATTCAGTCTCAATATCTCAAGAATTGCCTTCCGAATATTAAATGTTCCCAACATTTAATCCCAAAACATACATCATATTACTTGAAGACGCCGATTAAGTGGCAGAAACATAATGATATTACATAAATTAAGGAGCATATCATAATAAGCAATCTAAATTACATAGATTAGCATCTTCCACAAAAGAAAAAAAGAATCACATCACAGATATGCAATCATAATACAGTCATTGAGTACACAGCAGTAGCTTTTTGAGAATAACAGCGTTGATTCATTTATTAGTTTTGTACATGACAGGAATCTGAATTAATACCTTCCAGGAAGTAATTGTGCTGCAGTAACGGGGCCCTTGGTGCTACCACCAAATCGCTTTGCCCTGTTCTCCTGCTCTTTCTCTACACGCATAGCTGCTACCTCCTTCTCCATGACAGCTACTTCCCTTCTCATCTTCTTTGCCTCAACCTCCATTGCTTTCGTCAGTGTCTCTACCTTCTTTGCTAACATCTGAAAAACATCGTGCACCAATGCCAGAATAGAAGTTAACATCTATGAAACTCATAGATGAAGAATAAATAACATAAGACTTCAAAGAACTTGTTTAGAAACAATCAACCTCAATGGCATCATCCTTGTCTTTAAGGCTCTGATCTTTCTCATGACCAGCTTTTCTCAATGCTATAACCTCCTTTTGGAGTAAATCATACAACATGCCTGGAACACTGTCTTCGGTCCCAGGTGTTGGAGACTCATTTCCCTTTTCATCAGGATTACTTTTCCAATCATTATTTACTTCACTGTCCTTACTTGCATCACAGGACCGATTGAATGAATAACTGGGTAGAAGTCCATTTAATGACACCTTCCCTCGGTCCAATGACCTTGTGCCTCCATCAAATGATTTTGACGTGCCCTTAGCATGTTTCAACACTGTGCTACTGCTTGAGGACAAAGATCTAAACTGAGAACCTGGTGTCCTTTTGGGTAAAAGACCATTGGAAGTTAATTTCGAAACATTGTCAATTCCCCCGAGAGACTGTCGACGAGAGGGGCCATTGCTTACACTTCTCCCCTCTGGAGGAGCACTTCGATTACTACTACCAGATGACCCTCTCAAACTCTCTTCAAGCACTCTAAGTCGCAGTTGATACTTCTCCTGCAAACAGTAGCAGTGAGGCTTTTAGTTTCTGGTAACGGTGCACCACGTATAGTGAATTACAGTGATTGAGATAAAATTGGGTTACCTTCAATTGTGCTTCAGACCTTGCAGCTCGCTCAGAGATAGTAAGTTTATCACGAAGTTGCTGCATTTCTCCCTAGAAATAGAAGCAATAGCACAACAACAAGAAGATAAGCCCAGAGCAACATATTGGGTTGAAAAGAGTCAACAAAATCAATTTACCTGCAAAAATCTTCGTTCTTCCAGCCATTGTTTTACTGGCATAACCTTGTCATTTGAATCTTTCCATTCATTTGCTACTACAACAGCCACTCTGTTGGCTGATACCTTTGCACGAGCCAACTCTCTGTCCAGAGTTTTCCTTTCCTCCTGAAGAAAACAGAAATAAACCTCAGCTATTTCGGTAATGAGCTCCAAGATCCAAAATAAGTAGTACATGTAAAATAAAAGACAATTCTGATTCAAATATTTTGGCACATTACATTCATCTCCTGAACTTTGCGCTGATAATCTCTCACAGCATTTGCTGCCGCACCACCAGCAAGAACAGCCTCCTCCAGCTCCCTCACAGTTTGCGTTAATTTTTCAACCTCTGCAACTTTCTGACGGTGCATCTTGTCCAAGATTTTGTTTTCTTCCTAAAGCAACCCATAAAACAACGAATGAAACAGCTGAAACATTTAGATGTTAAGCATCATGCCCAGAAACATTACCTGACAAATCTCTATCTGTTTCATTAACTCTTGATTTTTGTTCTGTAAATCATCCACCATAGAGGCCTTGGCCAGGGCACTTTGAACAGTCCTCTCAGCATCAACCAAAGCCGCTTCCTTTGATTTGGTTAGACGATCCAGTGCTTTGTTGTCATCTTGAAGCTTTGCGATCTTGAAATCAACCAAGACAACAAATATAAGCCCATAGTAATTTTCTTTTTCCCTCGGTATAGATGCTTATCGTGCCATATTTAATGAACAGTACCTCCTGTCGTGCAAGCTTGAGTTCAGCCTCCAAAGGTGCAAGAATGGCTTCAATTGGAGGCATGTCGTCATCCTTTTGAGCAGCATGTACCCTCCTAAGAGTGGCTTCAGCGGCAAATTGAGCTGCCATTGAAGCCTTCTTCTCATCATTGATTTTCTTTATTTCAAGATTCTGAAAGAAGTTGCATGATAAATTATTATAATCTTAAAAAAAAAATGGTAAATAAGGTTAAAAAAGGGATCAGTGAATACCTTGCTTTCAAGAAGAGATTCTGTCAACTTTAATTTCTCCTCGGCCTTTGATAGTTCTTCCGTCAGCTATATGCCAATTAAAAAACCCAATCAATAATTTTCATACAATAGATTTCCAGAACATACATACATTGGTCAAAAGTAAGTGACTCGGACATCATTAATGTTGCTCAAGGAAAACCAGTAAAGCCTTTCTGAATAAAGCCAAGCAGAAAAGCCAACTCTTTTGTGAACTTCAAAAGTTACAAAATAATATATTTTTTTTTTTAACACGAAACAACTTCTCATTGGAAAAATGAAAACAAATACAATATAACTCGTAACAGCGAAAGAGATTTAACCAAACAACAAAAACTTAAAGCAACAAATACACGCATACCCATATAGAGATTTAACCATGAAAATAAATAATGAAAAAACAAAGAACTATTTCAATATCTTCGCCTGGAAGACTTTGAGAGCTTGCGAACACAAACTGAAGCTGCAAAAAAGACCTCTGCCAGTCACGTAACACTGAAAACTACTACATTATTTCAAAGAAAATCATGAACCGACCTCCAACATTGTCATCAAGAAAAACATTCGAAACAACTGCAATAAGCATAGAGATCAAGGTTGCAACAAGGACAACAGACCAAAGTGCTCAGCCTCCAAGAAAAAATGGTCAAACTACTAACCCTGAGTTTAAAGTGGGGAGATTTTGATATAGCAAGGAGGGAGAATCTCAAATTCAGTTTCATCTCTGAAGGAGGTTTGATCTTTGTGTTTCTTGTGGCTTTATTTTTACCAAATTTTAATAAGAACGATCTTGAAGGAGAGATTTCTCAATTACTGCTCCAAACTCTTGGAATTATCAAATAATTTGTCTCATTCTTTTGAAACCAAAAATCTGTCAGTTAATTAATGAGAAGATGAATACCCCAGACCTCAATAACCTTTCCACTGGATTTTCTGTCAACTGAGCCAACTCTTTACTTCAATTCAAATTTCAGAACAATCAATTAAATTAAAGTCTGGGAAGAAATATTAATCAGACCCCGAAATGTTTACTGATGGCTTCAAATGTGTTGCGTTCCCAGTATGTTAATGGAAGATTCTTCAAAGAAATCCAACCACCATAACCGATAATGAATTCAGGGTAAGAATGCTTTTCCCTGACCAAATTTGATCCTCAAATACAAATCACCAATAAGTTTGCATTTTCCATCAAAGATTTCTGTAGAAAACCAGGTCATATCATCCATGAAAGAGTTGATGGAGAAATTATTATGAAAATGAGACTCTAAAACACTATGCATATCCTTCCATGAACTGTGAGAAAATAATCTTGAAACTACCAATAACTTACTAAAATTATTGACAAGACATTATTTTCATTTCACCTGGAACCCAGAATTGAAAGACCGAAGATTGATGATTGGATTGAAGCACACCCTTCTTTAACCGAACCACCTCCGCCTAACTTGATGAAGACTACTTTACATAGATAGGTTCTGGTTTGGAGGAAGCACAAACCAAGGGAGTTTGAGGTAAAAATGAAACATCTATCAACTTTTCCTCATATTTCAACAGAAAGTCCTCAACATTTCCCAGAAGGCCAACCTTTCTTGTCTTGATAAGAAACGAAATGTAGGAGGCCAAATGTCACAATCCATGAATATGTTATGGAGATAACTGGACTTGGCCAAGTGAGATGTCCCATTCTCATCTCTATCTTGTTTGAAAAACGGCAAACGCACTGGAAGATGAAGAAGCTCAACCAAAGAACATTCAAACCAACGAAGATGAAATTCAGATAGAGGAAGTACTCTCTTAAAATTCAAATCATCGATAAAGAATTTGTCATCTTCAAACCAAATGCAGCAAGAAAATTTACGAATACAGCAACTCTCTAATTCCATGATAATTAAACAGGCATCGGATACTGAAATGAAACGACCAGGAAGGTTAAGTCCAGCGGGAGAAGGAGGATAGAACTAAAAATGGAGGACGAAAGAGGAGAGAGAAGAGAGAATTTGAGGGGAGGGGGGCTGGGTACATCATCGACAGAAGATCCTTGTGAAGAAGGATAAACCTGAGCACTAAAAGTTCTAAGATCAAAGGAGACCCCTAAAGCTAACTTACAATCTGTAGCCAACTTTAAACTATTTTAGAAAATCAAGAGGCCTATGAGGAAGAATGAATGGAACCCGTAAGAAGCATTGTACAAATAAAGAGAAAACTTGGAAGATCAAAAGTAATTTCCAGAATGCTTGGTTCTAGAAATTGGTATACGGATATACTTCTTCCCCACTTATGGATGGAACTTACCGATCCACATTGCCAAAGAGAAACTGGCATACCAACAATGGGAACAACCCACCAATAATTACCAAGAGAATGCCCACAAAATAGAAATAAGAACAATTAAGGGATTCTTATTGGGAAGCCGAGATCTCAACTATACAAAAAGCAAACCCAAACTACTGGTAGAAAAATACTCCATCCTACACTTCACAAACACCGCAGTTAGTTTTGTGGTGGTCTCCAATTATGAAGAAGTGTTGAATTTCACTATCAAATTCCATACCATCTCACGCACAAGAAGATTTCAAGTAATTTCGTGAGTCCCTTAAACTAATCGAGGAGAATCCGCAAAAGTAACAGCATTAAGATGTCCTACAAACATTCAAGTGATCAAAATATTAACCTCTTCAACTGCCTTCTCTCTAAGCCGCTCAGATAACTTCAAAGCCTTGATCTTCGCCTGAGCTTCCCCGAGCTCTCTATCCTTATCTGCAAACAAAAAACAGAAAACAAAAAAAAAATATCGAATCAAACACGAACACTTCACAAAACGAGCAAAATCCCCTTAAAATCCCTCTAAAGAAACACCAGATCGAACCACATTCGCACCTCGCACTTCATTCTCAAGGCGATTGAGCTCCACCTTCACCGGATCCGAGCCATGAAACAAGTTCAAGAAGTCGTCGGCGTCCATACTCGGCCTAACCGACGTCCGCCGCCGCGACGAGCTTTTCCCCTCCCTGAAAGATCCCGAAACCGTCAACGGCGTCGGATTCGGTGCAGAAATCGGCGTCGACGTAGCCTGAGAATCCACCGCCCGTCCGTTACTAACCTCCGGCAGAAACCCATCTCCATCACCAGATATCTCCGCCATAACCTGATCTACCCGAATCTCTCCCTTCTCCCCCCCTTCACATTCAGTGCAAGTCCAACCCAGGATCCAAAAACGCTTCCGCTCCAATCTCAAAAATGGTACATTACATTCACCACATAATTAAGAACAAAAAAACAAAGAGAAACAGAACAATATAATACCCTTAAACTCAGGTATGGATACAAATACAGACGAAATCTCGAGAAAGAGAGAGAAAAAGAAAAAGAAAGGAGGAGGGTAGAAATCAGGAATTGGGTTCGTTAAATAAGGCTAAAATCCTCTCTCTACGAATGGAATAAATGAGTCTAGAGAGAAAAAGATGGGAAATGGGAGCTCTGCTTCCTCTGGCGCGCGTTTCTCTCTCCCTCTCTATCTCTCTACAAATTCGAGAGGCCGTGTCAGTGTGTGGGGAAGGTCTGTTTAGAGAGAGAGAGAGACACAGACAGAGACAGATAGAAAGAGAGTGAGTGACTGAAAAAGAGAAAGAGCTAATTTTGTTCCCTCTATCTAATTAATTAATAATTACTTTTCTTATTTCATTATCCACAACAATAATATAAATATACCCTTCAATTTATATTTTATGGTTTCATTGTTTTTGTTAACTCACATATTTATAAATCCTAATTATCATTATCTAAATTTAAAAACATAAATTAGGCTTTTCATTTTTAAAATAGTTAAAAATATTAATTAATAAAGCAAATAAAAACTAAATAGTTAAACATTGCCAACCAATATTGTCCCTTAGATTTTAAACATCATGTAACAAAATGTTTGCCCCTCCCCTTTTTTTTTAAATGTATTTATATTGAAAAAGACGTTTCTGCAATAATCACTCCTTTTAAAAATATATTTCATTTATGTATTTGTCTTATTTGCCCCTCATCCCGTGTGCCAAGGGCTGTATAAATATTGCAATTACTCGTTTATATTGCAATAATATCAAATATTACCTTATAAATATTGTCCAAAAGGATAAATAAAAATAATGATTCATACACTTACGGGTACTGTGCCCAAAATTAATCTCAACCCATTACTCGGTCGCCCAACAAATCATCGATACGAAACGAGCTGAAACAGACAATATCTATTAGTGATGGACTTTGACTCTTACAGTAAAAGATATAAATTTTTTATGTATCGGTTGAAGATATAATGCAAACGAATTAAAATGCTATATAAGCGATGCTAACATTATAACGTAAAGGGTATAGAGCCAATCTATGTGCTATTTGTTTAATAAATAGATTTCGTGTTTATATTTTAGGTTTAGGGTTTTAATTTTACGTGTGGGGCTTTTTATTGTTTTATGTATAAATTAATGGGCCATCTCTTTATAAATGTGGTCATACGTTATTCTCAACACACGCATGTGTATCTTTTGTTATAATATAATAATGATTCGAGTTTTATATATATTTTTTTTGTATAGAATATCTCGTATGATAACAATTTCATCTTTTCAAATTTTGACGTGAAATTGAAATTTGAACTTACATAGATATTGAAATACATATCTCATCGTGTGCGCAAGGATCACTAGTAAGATATAAGAACGAACAACGAATAATTTCCCTTGGATTGGATATAAACCTTAGGGAAATTAAGAAGTTCGAGAATTTGCAAGGCGTTGTCGGGATGCCTAAACGTATGGAGCATACATACCAGATACTCCCCCTTAATGAGAAGCACACGTGCAATTACAATCTTGGACATGGGAGAGAAGGTTTAAAAAAAATCAAACTTCTTTTATTGGTTGTAGCCGTTTACAAGGGCACGAGCCTTGCGTCACTCAATAGACTCGACAGCGTTATACTTGGCTTTGTAGACCAACTTACAACCACATTAGTGTAACCCAAACATATAATGTTATTACCAATTAATTCAAAAAATATGATATTTTTAAATATTTAAAAAACACTAAACAATTCAAAAGTAATTTTTATTGGAAAAAAATCCAAAAGGAAATTCCAAAGCTTTTGTGAATGGCCGCTAGGGTTTAAGAACCCGCCCTTAAACCCAAAACTTCCTCAATCTCGGTCTCCTAGCTCTCTCAAGCCTCGAATGTCTTTCCTCAAATATCTACCATTCAAACCCATCTTCGCATGGTCAAAGAAGCCCTCCAATTCTTGGCTCACCTGCGACGAATCTCCCGCTTTCCCTCCCCTTTCACCTGCAACAAGCTTGTCCACTCTCTCATCAACTCCGGCTGCGGCGAGCTCTCCGCCAAAGTGCTTTTCCACTTTCTCTCCAAAGGGTACACTCCTCATTCATCGTCTTTCAATTCCATCATCTCCTTTTTCTGTAAATTAGGGAACATAAAATATGCCGAACGGATTTTGAATTCAATGCCTAGATTTGGGTGCTCGCCTGATATTGTGTCCTACAATTCTTTGTTACATGGGTATTGTGCGAGTTATAAGATTAGAGAGGCTTGTTTTCTTGTTAATAGAGTTCGTGGGGGTTTGTTGAATCCTGATTTGGTTATGTTTAATATACTGTTTAATGGGTTTGCTAAGGTTTATATGAAGAATGAGGCGTTTATGTATCTGGGTTTGATGTGGAAATCCTGTTTGCCTAATGTTGTTACTTATGGTACACTCGTTGATATGTTCTGTAAGATGGGGGATATGGAAGTGGGTAACAAAATGTTTTTTGATATGATGAAGGTGGGGGTTGTGCCTAATTTGGTTGCTTTTAGCTCCTTGATTGATGGGTATTGCAAGGCTGGGAGTTTGAATGTTGCATTTGGATACTTAGAGAGAATGCAACAATGCTCGGTTCAGCCGAACGAGTTCACATATTCAACGTTGATTGATGGTTGTTGCAAGCAGGGGATGTTGGAAAGAGCTGACTTTTTGTTTGAAGAGATGTTGAGTGTTGGTATTCTGCCTAATTGTACGGTTCATACTTCGATAATAGACGGACATTTTAAGAAGGGAAATGTAGACAATGCGTTGAAGTATATAAACAGGATGTTCGATCGAGAAATAGAACTCGATCTAACAGCATATACGGTAGTTATCGCGGGCTTCCGTAGAGTTGGTAGGTTGCATAAGGCAATGGAAGCTGCAGAAAATGTGGTGAAGAATGGATTACTTCCTGATAGGATAATACTAACAGCTATTATGGATGTGCATTTCAAAGCTGGAAACTTAAAAGAAGCTTTGAATGCGTACAGAATATTACTCGCTAGGGGTTTTGAGCCTGATACCGTGACTCTATCCGCTCTAATAGATGGTCTATGCAAGAACGGATACTTGCAGGAGGCTAGACGGTACGTGGTCAAAGAAAAGGCCAATGAAATTCTATATACAGTGCTTATAGATGCACTATGTAAGGAGGGTAATTTAGATGAAGCTGAGAGAACCATTAAGGAAATGTGCGAGGCAGGGTTTGTTCCTGATAAATATGTGTATACTTCTTGGATTGCAGAGCTTTGCAAGCAAGGAAATTTGCTCAAGGCTTTCACGGTCAAGAAAAGGATGGTTCAAGAAAACATTGAACCTGATTTATTAACCTACAGTTCCCTGATTGGTGGTTTGGCGGAGAAGGGACTAATGATAGAAGCCAAACAGGTTTTTGATGACATGTTAAATGCAGGAATCACTCCAGATTCTGTTGCTTATGACATCCTTATAAGAGGGTATCATAATCAGGGTAATGTAGTTGCGATTTCAGGTCTACACGATGAAATGAGAACGAGAGGAATTGTTATTGAACATTAATACACGAGATATCGACGCCGGGTCTAATCCTTCAATTTATACCGGAACCTTCCATACGAGAAGCCAAGAGGCATGTGATTGGCATCAGATGATATCGAAAATAGAGAGATTCCAAGTCATATATTCCTATTCCTCCATATATTGCTTTGCTTATTGCAGGTTTCAAATGCCCCCAAAGGTTTTAAATCATGCTGTTCACATGTGGGTTATCGTCATAAGGTGCTGTTTCGATATCTACTATTGACCACATGTAAACAAAATCGAACTCTAGACTTCTACGCAACCAATTTGCAACTCTATGATCTCGTGCTCTCTGTTTGGCAGATTTTGTGCTTCTTCTCCTCTTGCTGAGTAGCTGCAACATGGGATCTGGGAATAGACGTGACATTGCTTGAGATGGCACCTGATGGTTGCTGTAGTGTTGGAGAATTTCAAGTCGTCAGGCTGCTACTGAAGAAAAATACCTATTCTTGCAAGCCTGAGCTTTCTATATCTTTATTGAATCCATTGAAGATTTGTAGTAAACCCAAATAAACACCACACACACATAGGAATTGTTGCTTATGAAGAATCTCTCAATCGAAATAGAATTATCCATTCAAGGTTGATCTTTGTTTTTCAGCATATATACATTTATAATACACACAATTGATTGTTCCTTTGTAGCAGTAGCAGAATACGCTTAATACAACAGTGGACTAAAATCCACCCTCAAGAACAAGGGCCAAAAGGTTCAATAAGGTTTGATTCTTCATGTCTAACTCAAGCACATTAACATGAAAATTTGATTGTTTTTCAAAGCAATATAAAGTGCAAAATGCAAATCTACATTTATAACAAACGAGCTAGGCATCTAAGCAACATTTTGTGATTGAACAATCCTTATGGTCACAGCATAATGGAGATGGAAAACCATTTCACTAGTACAAATCAAAACAAAAATGGCGGTCCTGTTTGTCAGAACTTAAAAAATGCCTATGTATATGCTTCTGCAAATCAAGAGAAAACATGTACATAAAAGGTGCTTCCCAATACAAAGTGAACATATGGCCATTTAGAAGTAAAAGACATGTCCACAAAGAAAGGTAACAAAAACACGACCTATATCATATATAAATACATATATACAGAAGACCAAAATTTAAACACAAACCAAAGTGAAGAAAAACCAAACAAAATCATAATGTAGGTAAGTACTGGGAAATTTCTGTTCTTACAGTAGCTATAATTTGAGGAATCTCGAACCATTCGAGCAACTTTTCCTTTGGAGTGTTGTTTGCTGCTGATAAAAATAGTATCAAAGATCTGAATCTTGCTTGCTAGCTAAGCGGAGTTCGTGCAATTCATTGAGGATCCATTCTTCCCCAGTGTGGCCGCCCAATACCAAGACTCTTGTCCCTCCAACCACGCAAGTACTGTGGCCCCATGAAAATTTAGGTGGCTGTCCAGGAACGTTGAGAATCCTCCATGACGGTTTCTCCTCAGCCGGATCCAAAAGGAATAGTTGAGAAGGCGAATGTAACCCGGCAATGGACCCTCCGAAAATGATAATCCTTCCACAGGGCATGCTGACTGCTACGTGATCGAGTCTTGGTGGAGGAACCACGGCACTCTGACCACCAATGCCAGTCAATGCACTGCATTCAAGTTGCCTCCACCGCGGTTCTTCCTCTTCTAGATCTATGGTGTACGCCTCGCCTGATCGTAAGCGTAAGTGTCCACTCTTGGCAAGGCCACCAAACATTAGAATTTTTGTTCGACCATAAACTGAAAGAGAATGTCCCAATCTAGAAGGGGGAGTCCCGGATGTGGGAATCTCTCTCCAGGTTGGCTTGTCTATTGTTAGATCCAACAAGTATGTGTCACTGAGAAGGACCCCGGCATCTGTACATCCACCTGAAACAACCAGTTTAGAACCTTCGATCATACAGGAGCTATGCCAGGATCTAGGCAATGGAGGAGCTCCACCAGAGATTTCTTTCCATGTTGGTTGCTGAGCATCCAAATCAAGTACAAAAACATCGTTGAGCAATCCTTGACTACCACATCCACCAAAAACAACTAACCAAGAACCATTCAAACAAGATAGAGTGTGGCCCCAACGTCCAGGTGGGGAGGATTTCACGCTTACTCTGCGCCACTCAGGATTTGCAGCATCAAGATTGAGAACAAAGGTATCGTCCATTGGTTGCATATTGACTCCTTCCCCACCAAATAATACAAGTCGATTACCTGCGGCACAAGCACTAAAATTGCAACGTAAAGGTTCCACAGCTCCCCCGACCGTCAGTTTTCTCCAACATACAGCTTCAAGAGTAGTAAGTTCCCGGGCCAAGCGCCCCCAACCAAGTTTCTTTGTCATTTGTTCCAATGTTCCAGTCACTTCTCTTCCCCATGCATTCTGACATACCATCTTCCTTAAGTGCTCATTCTTTGTCAATTGACGAGTCCTTCGGCAAACTGATCCAATAGATGCAACATCTCTTGGTGTCAAGCGCGATAAAATGTTATGGGCCAAGACTTCATCTGAAAGCTGCAGTATCCAACAGATTTCTTTATGCTGACTAAAAGGTGGTTGATCAATCAGATGAGCACTTTTGCCCGATAGATCATACTTTTTGGCGCAAGTTTCTTTGAAAACAGGATACGACAACCGATTAAGGTCTATCTTTGTCTCAGAAAACACTTGAATTCCTATAATGTGTGTTACGGTGCCATCATCATCATGTATGGGTGCAAGCCTTAGCCTATTCACCATAGGGGTGCCGTCCTTTCTGAAATTGAGAAGTTCACCTTGGAATTCAACACCTTCTTCAAGGCATCTTCTGATTTCAGAAACAACCACCGGATCTACCAAAGGGTGACGCCTTTGTGCACGAGGATCTCTATATTGTAAGAACCGACTGAAACAAAAAGTTTCAATATGAGTTGATAAAACTTTACAAACAAGAATAATTACAAAACCTGGGATCAGGTCATGCTGGGTATACACTGAAATGCAACTAAATCAGGCATTAATGTGGATTAAGGTAATCAAATGGTAAATCCCCCCACCGCCCCACCAAAAAAAGAGCACAACAATTGTAGACAGAGAAGAGCTCGGAGGAGAAAACCAATAACAGACCTTGATCTGGATAGAGTCAGGGGATACATTACAGCAATCTCCTTAATCAGAGTCACCTAAGGTTCGCACTGAGCCATCGCCATTTGAGATAATTAGACAAGGAAATCAAAATGGGCTCCACTTTCTTCCCCCTCTATCTTTCCTAACAGGGTGCCAATCAGAATTTAGTCTCAAATCATACAAATGTGATTCTGTTTCATATAGTAACTTGTAAATAAAGGGACTCAACAGTCGTTTGTTTAAGGAAATAGCCAGCACAGAGAAGCCGCCCTCAACAAGCAAAACACATCGCAACAGGAAACACCATGAAAATCTGATTTTGCAAAAAGGAATTCCTACTGAAAATTGAATCAAATCACAACACAAAAGGGCACATAAATTGTCTTAACTACAAACAAACAGAAGCACAAATCTAATTCTCCTGGATTAATTCATTCCAAACAACTGTCCCAAGCATCCAAAAGTTTCTCCTACCGTAAATTACATGCTGAATCCATTCGTAAACCAAAAATACCACAGCCTTCAATACCAAAAACGGAAAGCCAAAAACAGCAAAAAAAAAAAATCATCTCGCAATTGAGTCTTGTCATACCAATTCTGGCCGAGGACCTCATCGGCGCGGTATCCGGTGTAGATCTCAAAGACTTTATTGACGTAGATGATGGGGAATTCGGGCTCAAGAGCATCGGAGACCACGAAGGAAGTTGGAGTCATTGGGTAAAAGAACAGGCCAGGCTTCAATGGAAGCTCGCTCACTTGCTCTTCTTCTTCTTCTTCTTCATTTTCGAGTTGTTCGTCATCGTGCTTGGAGCATTTTAGCCTCTTGCCGGAGCTCTGAACCTCCGGTTCATCATCGTTTCTCGCCATTGGCTTTCGCCGCTTTCTTCCGTCAGAGCCTGAAAATGGAAGTGATTGAATTGGCCTCCGAGATATTTATTTGCTCAATGGCGGTGAAGGAAAATGCCCCTATCCCACTCGAAAATCACGAATTTGCCACATACTAACATTAGTACAAGACTAAAATTATTATGTTAATTTTAATTTTGTAATTCAAGAAATTAAACTAAGACCCTCAAAACTCTAATTATTAAAAGTATTATTCATTAAATTATGCCCCAAAATTCTTATTCAAAATTACAATACCTTGCAACAAGTTTCCTTTTGATTTTTTTAAAATGCAAATTTCATATTCTATGTAATTAGTTTTTATTTAATCAAGTTCTTATTGTTTACTAAATAAAATTTGAATATATATAATTTGTTCTGACAAAATTGTAATGGATGTTTGAAAATTTGAATAAAAATTAAATGTATTTTTTATAGGTTAATTAATAAAATATTAAATTTTTTGATTAGTTAATAATAAAATAACCATTTTAATTAAATGATTAATTATAAATACTATTAATAAGGAAAACTTATACTCAATTTAACCCATATGAATTATTTGGTTGATACTTTTAGTGACTATATTTAATTACTTTAATTTGATATATTTCGATCAATAAAAATGAACTAAATAAATACATAATTATTTTTTTATTTATTACAATAGAATATTTAACTAAATATAATTAAAGGCTTTACACATTAAAAAAACGTCGGGAAATAAGTATTTTAGATTTAATATACATGTGTTCATGGAAAAGAAATGGCAATAACGTAATTAAGGATAAAAAGAGGGGTGAAAGAAAGGAGTGAGAGTCCACGTAAGAGAGAGTGGGGAACACGCGTGGGAATGATATTTGGAGGTAGAAAATATCTGACATTTTAGAGGCGACTACGAAAGTGCCACGTCACCATCAAACTCGTTAGATAAGATATTTTCTTCGGGAACAGAATTCCTTCTGACATGCCTGTGTGGTCCCACCATCTGCCACATGCCTTTCTCATGCTCGTACATGTGCCCTTTTAAAAACTTATTTTTCTGTTTTTTTTTTTTTTTAATTGAAATTTCTTACTCAAATGCTAAAAACATGATAAATTCATTGTGAAAAGCTACAATTTTTTATAAATAAAAAAACTAAAGACTAAAAACTAAATAGCTATAAAAACGACCCATTAGTGGAATTTAGATTTTATAGATTAAATCCTTATTTAATAAAAATAAATATTTAATTTTAACGAAAATTTTAAAAGTATAGAGTACATAGATTACCGAATTAAAATATAAAACTTAAATTGTTACATATTAATGACTAATTAAATTATTATTAATTTCAATTATCTCTTAAGATCATTTAAGAAGTTGTCTAATTTATATTTTAAACTTTATATTATATTCTTAATTTGTTCGTAACACATCAAAACACGTGTAGTTTCGTAACATTTTGATAACCGATCAAATTAATTTTTGAATTTGTTTGGTTTGGCTTATTTTTATGACGATCCTAACCCTCAAAACAAAATTTATTGTGGCTTATTGGTTTGGCTATTTTACTGTCATTTTCATTTTATTTAGCAAGAATAATTTTACTAAATTTCTTAAAATGTAACCATAAAATTCAAATTTGGTAAATAAAATTAAACTGATTATATTTATACACAAACGTTTTGAAAGTACGAGAACAAAAAAGAATAAAAGAAAATGAATGGAATAAAATAAACGAACTTCAAAACTCGAAGAACCAAAGTTGCATTAATTAAAATCCTAAACTTCCATTAAAAGATGTGCAAGTTTATGAGTTCTTAATCAAGATCCTCTCGATAAATGTCTCAAACACTGTCTATTGTCCATAGGACATGATGTGCAATGAGTGAAGGAAAATAGTTATAGACGTATCATATCTGCTCCACATACATTTTTTATGGTTAGACCGACACATCTAATAATATCATATGCACACCATGTAGTAATATACGTCATAGCATGGACAAAAGAATAGCTCAAGAAAACGTGTTTACTCAACCAGAGTACGTACGTTTGTGGTTAGGTCTTAACTTCTTCAAGTCATTCATGACTACAACCACCTACCTTATCCCAACCACTCTGAGGAACCATCATACTCACCTCATATTCACTCAACCATAAACCCTTCTCAAAGTATTAAACTTTTATATCTAACTTAACCATTACGTCTAACCGCCTAAGTTTACTTTAGCAAATATTGTCTTTTTTGGGCTTCTCACTCAAAGTTTTAAAATAAGTTGATTGGTAAGAAATTTTTATACCCTTATAAAGAATATTTAGTTCTTCTCTCCCACGAACGTGAGATATTACAATCCACCCGAGACCAGCGTCTTCTCTGACACTCGTCATCTTCTTTAATCAACGTGGATCTAACTTTAACTTAGGGAAATTGGACATAAATGTTGTCAAGTTGTCTCTCATCCACCCCAACTCCTCCATCTATTTCATTTAATGTACAATTAATAACATTAATTGCATCATTTATTCTTAAGGAAATAAAAATAAATAAAATAAAAACCATATATTTTACCTCACCTTCCATTTAAAGTGTCTATTTTAAAATTAATAAAAAATAATTGTCTATGATTGAGGAGCATTGATGATGAGCTGTAAGTAGTTATTTGGAGCTTTTTATTAAGTTAAAGATTATATAAGATAAGTCAAATTATAATTTTTCTTTATTAAAATTTCAAATTTGAAAATTCAGCCAATTAAAATTTGTAGATTAAATTATTGTAATTAAATTTCAAGTACTACATAATTATTTTCACAAAAGTTTGTAAGTATAAAGCATATGTTAAACTAATGTATATATAAATCATACATAACATATAATATAATATTTGAAATTTGTTAGAAACACAGTAAACATGAGGTTAAATCGAACTAAATCAAATCAATTCTTCAACTCCAACGATATGTTCAACGTTCATCTTGTCAGTATCATTTAGAGCGTAACTTTAAATCTCTATATTATATTTATATATTAACCAAAATTAAAAGGTTAAATTTGGCCCTCCAATTTAACTCTAGAAGACTATGAAATAAAAGGCGGTTGTTGTTATTATTATTATTTTTTTTTTTGTTATATGTGAAGCTATGTATACATAATAAATTATTAATTATTAGTCTGATTAATATTAAAATATATTGTCTTGAGACTAAAAATTGAGATAATTTTATAAAATAAAAGTATTAGTGGGTGAATACTTTAAAATAAATTGTGCAAATAAAATGAGAAATTGGGAGTTAAAATTTATTATTGTTATTTTTTATTTTTACAAAAATTGGAAAATATATATATATATATATATATATATATATATATTATCAGCAAAATAGACCAGGGACCATAGCTACGACTGCACCAGAAACTCTCCTTCTCACCTCTCTTCCAACTCATTTATTCCCTCTCTCACACTCTCTGCATTCTCCTCTCAGTTCGTCCTCAATTCGGTTCCATGCCTGATCTCATCACCTAACCTCTGCCCGTCGCCGACGTCGATTCACTTCAAAGCACCTCCACGGATTCCGAGATGGAGGATTCTCGCGCCAATGCGCTAATCCAGATGAGGAAAGCCGTCGAGAAATCAGGCATCAACACACAAGTAACAAGAAATCAAAATCCTAATCTATTCGTTTTTTCGTTCGATTTGCTGATGGATTTCTGACTCTCTGAGTGTTTCGACAGGAGTACTGCGATGCGACGATGATGAGATTCTTGATCGCGAGGTCTATGGAGCCTTCGAAAGGAGCAAAGATGTTCGTACAATGGCGGACATGGAGAGATGCGATGGTTCCGAAGGGTTTTATTTGTGAATCGGAGGTTAAGGAGGAGTTGGAGGCCAAGAAGATTTTCTTGCAGGGATTGTCCAAGACAGGACTGGCTGTGATGATTGTTATGGCTAAACGCCATTTTTCTTCCAAGGATCAACTCCAGTTCAAGAGTTAGTTTTCTGATTTCGTTCTTCTTCTTCTTCTTTTCTTCTAATTGTAATTTTTAAATTATTTGGAGTTCTTTTCTTCAAGTTTAAACAAAAATAGATTGTGAATGTTTTGATTATTTGTTTGTCTGAATCTAATTCACACTCCTCTCTCTGTTCTATGCAGAATTCCTGGTTCATCTCTTGGACAAGGTCATTGCAAGGTGACCTACTCAATTTTAATCATGAATAAAAAATGCATTTAAAAAATATATCGTTATTTTCATATTTTTACAAATTATTTATATAGGTTTTTAAAATTAACTACTTCTAGATCATTTATACAGGATTTTAAATATATCATTAACTACTTCTAGATAATTGAATCTAATTTTTTTAAGTTGTTTTTTGAAATAATTTTTTAATTAGTTAAATTAATAAAAAAAAAATAAGGAGAATACTCTAACCATTAGGCTTTAAAAAGTTGATTCATACTTTCAACATAGTAATCTTCTATAATATAAATTATCTCAAAACTTTTTAATATTAGTTTTGAAAAGTTTATTAGTATTTTTGAAATATGATTTTAGAGGGAATAATACTTTTAAAAATTTTCAAAAAATTTTAAGATGTTTTTAAAGTTTTTAAAAAAGTTTAAAAGTATTAAGGAAAGTTTTGAAAGTTAAAAAGTATTTTTGAAACAAGGTTACTCTTTAAGAAAAGTATGAACTATTTCTATCCAAAATTAACGGTAAGAGGAGTATTTTTTAACTTTTTTGAAAGTTTGAAGTATTTTTGAGATTTTTTTTTTTTTAATTGATGGGTGTTATTAAATTTTTTTTAAAAAAAAATTAAGGAATGTTTTTATTAATGTAGTTTTTTTTTGGAAAACAAATCGATTTTGAAAGTTAAGATAAAATAAATGAAATAAAAAATATTAAGAGGAAAAAACTTAAAGATTTGCATATGTGGACAGTGGTAGCGAAGGAAAAGAAATTGGAAACGAAAAGTGGATTGCTATTGTTGATCTTCACCAAATCTCATACAAGAATGTTGATATACGT